TTCAAAGAGCAAGGATCCGTAGCGAAAAGAGATTGCCTCTGACCACAGAAAAACTCCAAAGTCCAGAGAGGAAGAAAAATAGCTCCCTTCTCCTCTAGAAAGTTTTTTCCACCTGGTTAAACCACCCAATCTACTCCAGTGTGAGCAGAACGATAAAATCTGCTACCTCAAAGATGAGACAAGTGAGATCAAAGCAGGCACGGCGCTGCAGGAGAGCAATAACCAAGCCAGCACAGGATGTTCTGTCTCGACACACACGGAGGCCACAGTCCCTAAAGCACCAACTCTCTCTCGCAATGGCTGAACTACACGTTTTTGCAGTGAAGCGTCAGGATTCCAGCGACAAGCGCCGTCTGATTGCTCTATCCCTCCCCGGGGTTGCATGCTCATTGGGCTGAGGTTTGCAGAAGTATTCAGAGTCGGCAGTGTGTGTGTGGGGTTCAGTACCGGGCGGCCTAAATTGCTGAGTGACCTTTTGCTCGCTGCTGCATACAATTGCCAAGTTTGTGAAAAGGTTCCGCTCTCTTGCAGACAGATGCAGGGGATAGCTGACACCGACACACACCGAAACGCAAAACAAAGACAAGCAGAGGATGAAAAGAAAGGAGGGAGAGTAGAGGAGTGTGGAAATGTGGCTTGTTTAGACTTCACAGTTTTTCACGCTGTCTTGTCATTTTAGAGTTATGACAGCTCAGACAGAGCATAAAACCAAAGTTATAGCTGGTAATTGGGTAGGGCAAAAGGCTCTCTGTGTGCGGTCTGTCATATTACCCATCCAATCTTAATGAAGAACCGCGAAGCTCAAACTCAGCTCATCGAATTTCTTTCACTTACATCCAACCACAGCTTGTCCTACAAAGATATTGCATTTTCCTTTTTCCTCCTCTCTTTTTTCTCACTTCATCACTCCAAACCTGCGGTGGTGTGAGCGTGCTTCAGTAGAGTGTCAGAGTTGGCTTGCTGTGGCCCCCCGTGCCATCTGGCCTCTCCCCACAGCAGTGATACAGACATCAGTGAATGACAGCGTGTGAACAGCCTCTTTTGGGTTTAGAGGGATTGCGCATAGACAATGGGCGGCCACATAACACGGGACATCTGATCAGCCCGTTTTCATTCTGCGTTTGTTTTCTCAGAGGCGCTCAAAGGAGGGGTTTGAGCAACAAGAATGTGAGGAGAGCACTTGAGGACTTTCTGTTCCCAGCTCTGTTACTTAAGTGATTCACAGGCAGCAGTTTATCAGTTCACAACTGCAAACCAACATAATTAATACTTAAGTAGACCCGGGTGTCTGGTTCCTCTCTTCTCTCTGTTCGGTTCATGGGTTCGCTTTACGCTCTCATAACATTTCAGTGCCTCCAGGTCTTCATTTGGGCCGTTTCTGCTGTGGAGTGTATTGATGGAAACATTCAAATAAACTGCTCATTTAAAGAAACAGTTTGACATTTTAGGAAATATGCTTATTTGCTTTCTTGTCAAGAGTTATCAATACCACTCTCCTGTCTGTACACTAAATATGAAGCTACCACCAGAAGCCTGTCATCTTACCTTAGCATAAACAGGGGGTAATAACTAGCCTGGCTCTTTCCAAACCTTTAAAAAAAAAATCCACCCACCAGGATCTCTAAAACCCACTATTTAACATAATATATCTCATTTCCTTCATCTGTACAAGACATGAAGTGTAAAAATGTCAAGTTGTGCTTTAACAGAGGATTATGTGCTGGACTATTTCTTGGCCAGAGTCCAGACGTGTCCTCCTGGAGTCTTGTTGTCTTCAGGTTATCAATAAATAACTATAACACAGATATAGCATGTCAGTTAGAGAGCTTTAGAGGTACTGGTTCGTAGATTTTGTTCATTTTGCAGTAGTATTATAATTACGAAACAAATATATGAGTGGTATTTATCTTCTCTTTGCCAGGAAGCAACTATAAGCGTATTTACATCCAATCACTAAACCCATGTGCCTCACCACTTTACTCCTTTATTTCCTAATCAATCTTGCCTCCTATATTCCAGCCTCGTTCATTTTACATTTGAAAGAACTTGACTGAATTTCCCTCTACTCCGTCATTATTTATACCCATTTTCTGTCTTTCCATTACTGTCTCAGCACCTCACTCTTTCTCCTCTGCTCTGAGTCCTATTTTGTTGCAAACACAGCCAACGGCCTTCACTCCCCCCCCCAACCGTGTTCCTTTCCAATCTCATTTTCCCTCTCCTTCTGCTGGAACAGTTTGATTTGAATGCAGAACTGCAGCTTTCTCAGTCTCGCTCTAGCTGCGGGCCTTCTATTAGATCAAGGCCTTTTGCTTTTTCATCTTTAGACAAGGAGAAGAAGAGGAAGAAGAGGAATCTCCCCAGTTCCTTGACTGAACAGCGCCGGGAGCTGCCTGGCCTTTTGGCTTTACCCAGTACATCATCAAATGGACAATGAGGGGGAGGAAAGGAGCCAGGGAGATTGAAGAGCGATAGACGGAGCTGAGATCAAGGTCCCAACGGAGGCCAGCACTCCCACTCGCTCCACGCTGATGACTCACAGAAACAGAATCTGCTGGTCCGCTTACCCTCAGCCGCACACTTCTATCAAACAGGCAGAGATTGAACACGGAAAAATTCACCTCCTGCTACGTTCAAACACGAGGTTTGCTGTGCGACGATTGAACATGAAAAACATGTAGTTATATCATTTACAGCACACTGTAAACCAAGCACCCATCTGATCTGGTGTCTGGCACAAACAGAGAAATGCAAATATGGAGTACTGAGCCCTCTTTGATTTGTTCATCCTGGAGGATGTGATCTTGAACCATGAAACAAAGGCAACAGGAGCAGAATGTTTAAACCATGATCAGCACTTACAGGGAAGCCTCCCAGAATGCACTGGGGCAACAGACTCAATGAAATAACTCTAATTTTATGTGTGTCCCTGCAGTGTTGATGCTGTTGTGGTGCTTTACACTGTTCCCCATCATGTTTCCACCATTTCCAAATTAGTTTTTATAAGCAAATGTCGATAGACCTTGAGTGATGTTTGTGCTTGATTGGTGAGATTCTCTCCAATGTAATAATTAAGTTGATTACTAGTGATAGAGTATTATTGATTATCAAACCTAGTTCAGCTAATAAACTTTCTGTTAGCTATCTTACTGTAGATCCCAAGACTGTTCCTCAGTCGATGTCCATAACTCACAATTATACCTTGCTTTATCCATGATCTCCGAACTAACAGCAACATACAATTAATTAATGATTTTATTCTGACTATATACAGTCTGCCACTGAAAGTAGATTAAAGTATATTTAATAATTTTAGTGTTCAAATGACAAGTAGGCCTACTCATCATATTGTCAAGGATAAATTATATGTTTTCTTGCTCTATTGTCAGTCAGAAGGTTTCAATTGAATATCCCAAACTATATTTATTTTGTTGTGCAAACTACCATGTAAAGGGATTTGGTGACTGTACAAAAATTTGTGGCGGAAATATTTCTATTGTATTCTTTATAAATTAGGGAGGAGGGTCTAAAGAAAATATTAATAACGCTGTGGAAGGCCTTGCTTTTTACTGCCCTATGAATTTGAATCATTTTCTCTGAAGTCTGGTGTATGTTGTCTGACATTGGCGTTGATGGAGGTCAGCACTCTCTGAGGGCCCTTTTAGTTTATAAAAGATTTAGCACCCTCCTTTTAACTCTGTATCATGAAAATTAAATTGTGATAATCAGACTCAGTTTGTAATGTTTTTTTTTTAAATAACCTACGTTATTAAAGAAATCTAACTTTTCATATGTCACCATACCTCATACATCATACCATGATCCAGCTAACTGTGAATAAGTCTGCACTTCTGCAGATTTGGGCCTTAAGTCTTGTTGCCATGACAACAGCTTCAAATCATTTTTAAGCCAGTTTTGAACAACTGTAAAAATCCTGGCCCATGTGAAATCATCAACAATCAAACCAAGGCAACTCCCCTTTCCACTTTCAAATAACACTGCCCAAATTTTATCAAACTCAAATAAAAAAAAGGAGGGAGAGGAGACAGAGAAACAAAAAACAGTTTGAGAAAACTGAAATATGTACAGTTCCCATTACAATCCTTTTGCCATTCACTCACCTAAAAATGGACCACCTTAACCGACCCTTGTGTCATTAATCCGCCTGCCTTAGTTAAGCGTATTGCAGACAGCAGCATGCACTCATCCTTTCTCATCTTATTTAACCATCACACTACTCAGGCGTGCCTCTAAGCAATGTTTTCCTGAACGCTTTTACAATTCGTACTTGGCGGAGTTCACTGATATAATAAATCAAGCACCAAAGCAGGCAGTAACACAGGTTTTACAGGCTGTAAACATACATTCAGCATTGTCTTGGTTGTAAAACATTTAGAGACAGACCGCAGAGGAAATGAGCTCTAAATGTTGCTGCAGTGATGTTATAATGAGCCTTTGGTGGAGTTCAACACATCTGTCATTTGTCATAGCCACCACCCATAAAGGTCAAGGGAATTTTTCAGAGTAAGCAGCACACGCTTTTTTTAAGCCTGTGCAACTGATTGAACTTGTGGGTGTCTGCTAAACTGAATGATGGCCCTGAAAACCAGATCGGTATAGGCCATTAACTCCAAATGTACAGAAAGAAAAAACAGAGGCTTTGAAGAATGGCACTCATTCTGGATACCGTTGAGCTGAGCTAGAGGGCTGTGTCCATCTAGTGTTCGGAGGTGGTAATTGAAATTGCATTAATATGAAAGAAAATGAACTACATTACAGTATGTTTGCTACAGAAACAAAGCGTGGTTTCCGGAGCTCAAAGAACAAGTAGCTGTGCGTAAATGTGTGAATCCTCACACATACACACGCCTCAGTTTGGCTTCATCCACCTATTGTTATCATACAGCTGTGCAGTAATGTGCTGATTATGTGTAATACTAGAGCTCTTTTGTCAAGTCACAAAACAGCAAGGAAAAAAAATGTATCACTTGGAAAAAAAGAAGTGTCTGGTTTTAACCACCATTTTATTTGGCATAATTTAAAATCATCTCACTGTTAGTTCATTTATACAAATATGCTTTTGTTATATATAAAACAATTACAAACAGATTTCTACAAATCAAGTTCCCAGTGTAAAAGCGTAGTACCACGCACACGGTAGCATACAGCTCCGGGACACAGACATACAGAGCCCACAGGTGTATGTTCCACTTCAACAGCATTATCTGAGTGAAATCAGGACATGGCAAAAAAACAAGCTCACCACAGTTGACAGTTTGACAAATTGTGCACTTACATTCAACCCTCCACACACCAATCTGGGAAATTTTCACACATCTTTAAGCAGATCTCAAACCGCATCACTGTTGATGCACAAAACCTCTCACTCGTGTTGCGCTTCGGTTATTCTAGACTTTACACAGGCCACAATCTAGGTTGACTTATTATACACCCCACTCGAGTGAGTAAATGAAAATAACTATAGTAAAAGGGCTGCTGTTATTACTGGCAACTGTAAGCACACAAGCAACCAGTCATTACTAAAAAAAAAAATTTATAAAATGTATAAAAATCCTCAGATGCAACAAGGCACGTTTCACCAACGCAGCTCTTGCTGAACCGTATGTGCAAGTTGTGCTTGTGCCTTGCCCTCACTGCACCATGCAATGCAGGGATGTAAACCACAATCTGTTAAGAGCTGTGGGCCACGAGCGCTCCGTTTCACAAATGCACAAAGACTTGCCGCGCAAGATGTCAGTTTAGCACCTGTGTCTTACAAACAGTGCTGCAAGAGGAGTGTGTTTACTGGAGGGAACTAAGGCAGAACGCTTCTGAAAAATTACAAAAATGAAACCCAGAGTTGGTTGGACCTGTATAGGTCTCGTGGCACTTGCAGCACTTTAATGGCCACCTTTGGGTTTGACAAAGGAGCACTGCTATGGTCTTTGGTTTAGATAAGGCACCTGACCAAATTAAATGCTCCTTCCATATTGTAGATAAACTGCTGTTACGTGGTTTACAAGGCAGCTATGACACTGCTTCTTCCAAGATGAAATGATATTCACCTAACCAAGAAAATATATGAAAAGAAGTATATAGCCTAGCATAAGCCAGTTAAAACATATTCTGGTATTATATGCTATACTGAATCAATTATGCAGTGGTAATAGTCTGCTAACCTTAAATGCAAGGCAATAACGTAATTGAAATTGAAAATGTTATGGAGTTCTGGTTCATCAAATCTGATTATTAATTACAAAACAAATTTTACTGATCAAATAAACATAGGCTATTACAAAAAAATATATTCAACTTTGGCCATTACCACACTCAGGTTAAAAACATTTGAGGAAAAAATCATTTACAGAGTAAATTCCAACATAATTAGACAAAATAGAGTCTCTTTGACACCACCCTGTCAAAAACTAATTCTTAGGCTTGTTTTTAATGGCACTCGGTGTGAGCATCAAGAGTTAAGATGAAGACAGAGGGGAGCTGTACTACAATCTGACTTTCTGATGATGTCAGCCCAAGAAATCCAGTACCAGTGTGGGTTAATTTGGCAGAAGCCTCATGACACCTGCTCCTCTATTACTGAAGAGGGCAAATGGTCGGCTGCTTTTAATGGATTTGGTTTATCTTCAAAGTCCTACTAGCTCTCCCATGCATGGCAGTGAGAGAGCAGTGCGAGAGGCTGGAGGGGCAGCCTGCCAGACAGCTCTAACATGCCAGACTGAGCACAAGGGGAACTGCAGCTCGAGAGTTTAACCTCTAATCTGTGCATATTGGTTAAGGGGTACTGGCATCCGTCCTGGAGTCATCGCACCTTGTCTGGAATCAAGCTGCTTGAAATTAAAACTTATTCACCCTCTACTTGTCTGTTTATTACATCTAAATAGGCAAGTCAAAGCATTTTGATGGTGACGTTGCTTGAGACTCATGAGATGCAACCTAGGTGAGAGTATGAGGTAGTCATTATTTCTCCACCTGAACAAAGGCAGATCTCTTCTCTCCAGTCAAACAGGGTAGCTTGGTTGGTTGGTTTGGATGTTATTATGGCTTGTGACAACCATGATCAGCATTTTATAAGGCAAAGCAGAGAAGCTATAAATCTAGAACAGATGTAAAATTGGAAAAAGTGTAAATATAAAAAGTTAAAATGTAAGAAAAATAGAGGAGATACTGTCTGTTGCCCCCATTTTGGCATAGTCACTTTGGTGATGATGGCAACGGAGAGAAATCCTCCAAGAGATGAATAAGGAAGAGAGGAGTAACAGAGGAGCTGAAGACAAAGTCTGAACTGCTGGAGGTGGTATGGAGGCAGCCAGATGATGACCTTCGTTCCTCAGCCTTCCTTTGCATCTGTGGATCTCCATCATCTCTCTACACAGTCCAAATGTGGGAACCATTTATTACAACAGCACACACTTCTTGGGGTTCTTTTTCGTGACTGGATACAACACTGCCCTCACAGCATCAGCAAACACCTCCCTGACACCATCCTGCTGCAGAGCAGAACACTCCATGTATTTAACAGCCCCAATCTGCTTGGCCAGGGCATTGCCCTGCTGCTGGGTGGTGGGAGCCAGGCCCTGCTCCTTCAGCTTCTTCACCGTTTCTGCATCACCCCTCAGGTCCTTCTTGGTGCCCACGAGCAGGATGGGCACATTGGGGCAGTGGTGAGAAACCTCAGGATGCCACTTGTGCCTGACATTGGCATGAGAGGATGGGCTGCCGATAGAAAAGCAGATGATGAAAACGTTGGTCTGGGGATAGGAGAGAGTACGCAGGCGGTCATACTCCTCTTGGCCTGCTGTGTCCCACAAGTTGAGGCTGACAGTACGGCCATCCACGCTCATTTGAGCGCTGTAGTTGTCAAACACTGTGGGAATATACTCTTCAGGGAAGGCATTGGTGGTATAGGAGATGAGAAGACAGGTTTTACCCACTGCCCCGTCACCGACCACCACACACTTTATGGTCTGCATCCTGCCTACGACCACTGGGGCTGCAGCACCTGACAACAGAAAAGAAGGCACCTGGGTAATTTCTAGTTACACCACTCCATGCTCAGAGAGGCTAATCTAAGCGCCTCATTCTCAGTGATAAGGGGAATGATTATTATACCTGAGGAGACACGGGTAAAATTACCGGCTAGTCACTCTGCGACAGCAGTTTGTACAGTAATCCAGCTTCTCACCCAGTTAGCAGACGAGCTAACCGCCGCCGACGTTAGCTCATCGTAAGTAACGGTACATTGGTTAACGATAGCGACAAATTCAGTCGTCCACTAATTAACAACGTCTGGAAAGTGTATAACACTGGCCCCCTAACAAAACACAGCAAGCGAAACGGAAACGAGATGCCAATTATCTGGCATGTATTATTTCGCACTGTTCACTTATGATACTAGGCGTTCCCCTACTAACTAGCACCAAGCTAAGGAACTAGCGCATTAGGTGGCTAACAACCTAGCTAGTTAGCAAACAAGTTCAAAGTTTATTGCAAGCCACTTCTCAAAAAAGCCTGTTCCTGACCCAATAACACCCTGAACTTACTCTAAAAATTATATTGTGTTCTAACGTATGTCTCAGAAGTAGTAATTTGCTGTAACCGTGAAATTGGAAGGATTTTGTGACTTACCGCCACTTGTCTTTCGATCTCTTTTTGCCTGGTATAGTCAATCACAGCCGCATCCGGGGAGCTGTCCATTACGTAAAAATCGACGTACGGAAACAATGCAAGCTGGTAGTTGTAGTTTCATTTTGAGACTGTCGTTTGTCTGACACCAGATGGCGTTGTTATGCTATTCTGCCTTGCTGTGATTTTCCTAACTTGTACTGTATGACAAGTACAGTTGCAAGAATCTCAGCTTTTAGGTTTTTAGCTTTTTGCTTAAACTGCAAGTGTGGTGAGAGAACTGTCAGTTTTATAATTTCTCTGCCAGTTTAAACTGTGAATATTTACGCAGTAACCTACAGTGATACTTAAAAAAAAAGTTTAAAAAAAATAGATAAATAAAAATCTCCTATTGCAAGTAAAACTCCTGCATTCATAATTGTAATTAAATAGAAGTATATGAAATTAGAAGTAAATTGTAATTACAAACTAAACTATAGTAAAGTATTGCAAAAGAATGCACCCTTTCAGAGTGTTGTTTTTGACTTACTCATGCATTTACATGGAAGATCATTTTATTGTTGTAGCTGGTTGAATTGCAGGTTATGTTAATTACTTTATGCACTGTTGGGAAACTGTAAGAATGCTTCATTTTTTACTCATCAAATATTTTCTATGTAAAATCTTAATCTGCAAATCTACAGATGTCAAATACATTTGAGATAAAAAGGTACAATATATGATACTGAAATCAATACTTAATTTTTTTTTTTTAAGTAGCAGAAAATGTAAATTCTCAACTAAAGTACATGTAGCTCAAAACTGTACTTAAGTACAGTACTTGAGTCAGTGTACTACCATTGCTTCTATATACAGAAAATGTTTCGTCATGTCAGTCACCCACAGATTTTATTTTGCCTCTAATCAAGATCGTGTTAAACTTCCTGATTCATGGATGGTGTTTGGCATGATATTTCCCCTGCAACTCACAGTATTTATTTTATTTCTTTATTTCCTGCAAAGATATCAGACAACTTTATTTTCCATAAGAGTGACCACTTAAAAAACCTACATTATATCTTGTAACAAATACTCAAAAGGGTGTCCCTGAACCTTACTGACTTCTGATCTAACTAAATCTACTCAATGTCACTGCAAATGAGGGAGGTGTGTCTTGGATTTTACCAGCTTGTTTCAAGGGTAGTCTGAATGCATGGACACCTACAGACTTTCTACTTTGGCCTTACCCTTTCTCTTGAACTTGCTACATTCCTGCCACTAAATGCCACACAGTGGCGTCACTGTGTGTATATACAGGCCACACATAGAAACAGGACATAAAACAATTCTGTCTCCTGTTTTTTGGACTTCATCCTCAGTGGTCAGCACTGGTCTTAAAGCCCATATATAATTTATTCACCTTCAGACGTGGCATTATTCTCACTAAGCCAGTGCTTTCAGATCAATGCAGAATACACGAAGGCAGCTAAAAAAAAAAAGGGATCACTTTAGACTACTCAGTCCTGCACCCCTGGAGACCCGTTGATGATGTCACCTCTATACACTGAGCCAGGTTAAGAGGCCAGCAGTGACCGACAACCGGACACTCAAGAACACAAAGAGGCACCAGTTTATTGCCTTTCCCAAGAGGTTCTGGCGTCACTGCGGCCTATAAAGAGAGAATTCCCACTGGGACCCTACACCCACAGTCACCCTCCACCCCAACCCTTGCACCCCACTATTTTGCCAGGAGATTCCCCGGGACGTCTGTAGCATTTCCATGACAACAGCCACCGACAGGATTGGGGGTGACTGTGTCAAGAGATGCAGCAAGCAGGACTTCAGACGAAGAGGGAGAGAGAACAATGAGGGTGACAAGGACACAGAAGACAGCAAGATGCAAGTGCAGTAGTTGATGAAGAAGAATGGGGACCTTGAAAGTCACAACTCTCAAAGCAAGTGCTTTTCTGAATATTGAGCTAAAGAACAGGTTTGAGAATATGTCAGTAACACAGACTGGAACTTTTTAATTTAACTGTTGAGTGCCTTTTTATCGACAGGACAACACCTATTCACAACCACCATCTTTATTCATCTTCTCTTATTTACAAAGCCACATAATGCAGTGAATAACAACCAATGCTATTCAATAAAGTTATAGAATATTTTTGATATAAAACCAAAATGACAGTAATCATCCCTGCACAGCCTCTTCTTCAGTTTGTAAAGTGCATCAGAGCCATGAGGCCACTCAACTAGAGGATGAACAGTTCAATAGTGTACCGAGTTAAGTTCACACTGTAAGACAGCCAAGTGTGAGAATGCAATGATCACAGAAGGGTCACAGTTTTCAAAACATTTGGATAATTTCCTAAAAAAAACAAAAAAAAAACACCTTTTTTTATGCCAGAGTGATTGACCAGTTCCCCAAATCACAGATCTTTCAAAGCCACATAGTGTTCACTTGGTGGAATCCTTTTCACTAACATGAAACGTATGTTAAACTGTTCTACATATGAACATGGGTCTTTTTGTAGTGTCCTATTGCCTGCAATGGACACAAGCCAATGTAAAAAGAGGTAGGATTTAAAGAGTCTATTCTACTTTTCTAGTGGGGAGATAAAGTATCACAGATGCTCCCAGTGCAGCTCTGTGTCACATATGTAGAACCTATGCACTCAGAACTACATACACATTTCCTAAAAGTTAAATTTAGATGAACTACAGTTGAAGGAGAGCAGATTCAGACCTGATAACTCACACCATTCATGAATACCCATATATTAGACCAACATACAGAAAAGGCATGGAAAGATTTATCACTTATTCACTTCCATCACCTCCACAGTGGCTGGGCTGTAGCTCGAGGCATTTTGGGACCAGGTATCCGTGATGCTGTAGGGATTTTAGAGCTAGCAGGCGAGGTGCTTGTGCTTGTGGTCTTGGCAGTTTTAGTTCGGGCTGCAGATATGACAGCCGTACGTATCGTCTTGGCTGTGGCGGAGGATGGGCTGTGGGCAGTGCGGGCCTGGGAAGAAACCTGAGTCTCAGAGTTTGGGGCAAGTCGTTTTGACACACGGAGAGGGCTCCCTCTGACGAAGGCTTGTTGGGTGCTGCCCGAGACCTTGTCTGGTAGGGATCTGTCTGAGGTCCTGTGGGTCAGGGTGGGCTTTCCTGGAGTCTGTGACTCACTTACAGTCCTCTCCCGGGTGCTATTGCTTCGTTTCACCTCTGTCTGAATGATGGCAGGCCGAGTGATGGGAGACGAGCGCAATGACATGCTGCGAGGAGTAGATAGCCGACTAGGTGTGGGTGGGTTTGTAGGGGCTGGGCCACCATTTGAAGGCTCAGTTTTGGAGCGGACCCTGGGAATGCCTGTGCTGTTGGAAGGTCCTGCACGTGACACAAGTCCCCTTTTGGATCCTATTCCACTACGCACAGGGATCTTCATGGTTTGACTCTCCTCCTTTGATGAAGGAGACCCTGGAGTTGCCCCCTCCCGAAGGTCAATCTCCCTCTCTTTCCTCCACTTGGAGCAGAGGCTCGGTGCAGGTCGTGGGAGTGGAGAGGTTGGGGGTGACAAGGCCTCATAGGACCGGAGGCCTTTCACCAAAGTGTGGCACTCCAGTGTTTCACCCACACGGGAGTATGACCTTGCAATCTCCTTCTCTGGACTTGGCAAGTCAGAGTACTCCTCTGGCTGCGACTGGCTGAACTCTGGTAGACTGGAGGGCATCCAGTTCTCATCCACAGGTGTGGATGCCACTTCTGTATCTGTCTGCTTTGTTAGACCAGCATCAGGCAAAGGCATCACAGCACGCGTCTCTCTCATCTGTGGCTGTGACTGGGCTTTATTTGGAGCTTTTACAGATGATTGTGATTGGCTCTCAGATCTCTGGTAACTCAACAGCCCAGCCCTGGTGTCGCTGTGAGAAAGTATTCCATTCGTATGAACAGACTGAGGTACAGGCTCATTGACAGAAGAGCCATTAGATTTTCTCTGAAGAGAGCGATTATTGTCTGTTACTGGCAGGCCAAACCTATGTCTGTGAGCAGAGGTCTGGGATTTAACACATAGGGCAGGTGTATCAGTATCTATAGCAGCAGAGCTAGGACAGGAACTGGGTGAAGACTCGGTGTTCATTGAAGTCATGTGCTCATTTGAAATCTCAACTTCTTTTTCAAGTCCAGTTTCCTTGGGTTGGCCCTGCAGCATATAGGAAATGCTCTCAGGACCTTGTTGTTTGACTGTGAAGCTATGTCCATGCTGAGAATTACTAAATGTAGCAATGTGCGAGTCCTGAAGAGCTTCCACGCCCCGTCTGGTTGTTTGGCTGGGCTGAACCCTGCTCCCTCTACCCAGAACAGGTTCTTGGTCAGTGGGGGAACATGTGCCGTCAGTCTCTGGAGAGCTGCAAAGTACAGCGGTGTTTTCAAGGTCAGAAGAGCTGTTTGAGTGATAGCTGGTTGACGTTGGGCTGCTGCCAAGCACAGGGAAGCTCTTTAGCATGGATGAGTTATGGAGGTGGTGCGAGTATCTGCGGGAGTCAGAGCTTCTCAGGCTACGACGACTCCAAGTGTAGCTGAGGTTCTTCTCTAGGAGTTTCTCCAATTCATCTTGGCTCTCCTGACTGTGAGGCTCTCTGGAAAGGGTCAGTCCCAGGTCCAGCCCAGTACAAATGGCCAAAGAGCGACGCTTCTCCCCAATCTCACGCTGGCGCTCCAGACGTTTCTGCTCCTTCAGCTCCCGCTCTGCATTCTCCTGTAGAAAAAGGAAAATTTGTTAAAATTAGCTAAAACGTTGTGTCTATCTTTTTGATCAGAAAAACTTTACCATCGATTTCTGGATCCTACCTGGATAGCTTTTTGGAAGCGGTGGCAAAACAAATGGAAGACCCTGCATGCCTCCTCAAGTTTGAAAGTGCTGTCGTCCTCACAGAAGAACTCCACCAGAGCCTGACTCGACATCCTCATTCCCTCCACCTCATCCTCTGCCTCCTTCAGACGCTCCTCGGCCAACTGCACACGGAAAGACATATTTTAAAATTTTTATTTTTATTTTTTTTAAAATACATCCAGTATACATGGTCCTATTTATTACCCTCAATAAAAAAAAAAAATGCTAAAATTTTTAATTGGATATTCTGTGTGTTAAGATTGGAGCTGAAGACGGAGTACATTTAAAATAGTATACCTCCAGGAATCGCTGTGTGTGCTGCTGAATCTCTGCTTCAGTCTGGGTGTTTGCCTTGAGGGCAGCCACTCTGCTTTTCAACTTGGATAAATCCTCCAAAACAGATTCCTCACACAACCTGCAGGGAATGAGCAGACATATAATACACAGTCATGTTAAGAACTGTACAGAAATAGCGGTATAACATGTCTTGAGAAAGCTCTTGCAATCAAAAACTGGAAATCCAATCAAAAGTATGCAGTAACTCAATTTTTTCAATTGACTTGGACTCGAGTTCTGTCAGTTTATATGCAGCAAGAGAGACTGCAGTAGCACGCACGATATGTTTTACTTCAGAAAGCAGAATGAGGATGGTCATCCCTTAGCACCTTGCAGATTACTAGAGCATACAAGAAAGTACCAGAATCAGTGCAAAACTCTACAGCAGAGCTCAAATATTGGCTTCGAGTATCAATATTGTCATGACCCACTTTCACACAGGCAGCAAGCTGTTGCTAACAGCTGGGTGCCTTGCTCTCATACAAGAATGCAATAGATTTACATTACGACTGTTTTAGCAGCAGTTTGTTTTTGACGTTATTGAGCAGAGCTAGTTTATTCCCTCAGACTCAGTCACTGTAGATCTGATGGGATCTGAGTTTTGGGAAGAGACTGACCTGGAGGCGGGGCCAACATGGCCTAGTTGGCTGGGAAATGACAGTAAACTCTGGTCCTTTTTCACAGCTTCCTGTGGAGACAAACACAACTGATTATCCAGCTATTGTTTGTAAAGAAGCAACACATCATTTGCTAATGTTGACTAAATCATATGCTCTGTGGAGCAGTCTGGATTGAGGGTCTGGTGCAGCTATACTGTTGTTTGTGGTCAGAGCTGTTTCTTGCAAAAACTGCTAGACCTAATTTCCCCAAAAGCTAGCAATATTAACACCTGTTTTTCTTTTAATGAACAGTTTTTAACAAATACTTTTACACACGATACAAATCCTCTTCATAAGCAGCACTAGTGCTCATATTTTTAAAAAGGAATTGTCTGTCATGTAATAAGCCCCCCCCCATTACATTTTCCTAAACTTTATATTTGATTTTTTGTCTGTTTATTTTAATATATTTTTTACTCAGGCTGTATTGCATCTAAATTTCATTTCTTACCATAGCTACAAAATGCAGAAGATTCATGCCCGGCTTGTTGGCTTTGGTGTCAGCCAGTTTGAGAAGCGACGAAATTCGGAAACCAGCAGCATTCCCTGCATATCCACCCTGAGAAGCCATGTACAAGGTTAGAATAACACACACACACACACACAACATGTGACAACTTTAAACAAACAATGATACAAAACCCAGGTGCATAGTCAGAGTGACGCCCCTGAACACACACCCAGACCCCTAGTGACTGGTGTATTGTACACAGATTAAAAAAAGAAAAAAAAAAAAAAAAAAAAAAGGGACTGGCTCTGCTTTGTCAGGCTGAAGAAAAGAACATAAAACAAATAAAAAATAAAGAAGCACTTACAGCATTCATATAGTTCCCAGCTTTCAGCACCAAACGAAGGATGGAGTGTAACTCAGGACAGCTCAGCAGTTCTACAAGGGTAAAAGTCAGATTCAATATTGTGCCTCAAGGTTGAGGCATTATGAATATGAATGTGTCTGCAACTGACTTCAAAGTTTTAAAATGAGTCAGCAACTTTGACTTGAAGAGCACAAGAGACACTCAAGTTGACTGATAAAATAAAATATATACAAAAAAAATGTAACCTTCTCCTAAATCAGTGATTCATTCTGAATTCAAACCATGTTATATTTGCATTCTGGATCCAAATGTCACCACACTAAATGGGTCTTTATCTTTATAGTGGTGGTGTACACAACTCCCTGCTGTTACTTTACCTCTAGCTGCCTCCCTCAGGCATCTGGCTGCCACACACAGAGAGGTCATAGCAGGGTCAAACTCCTGTTGCAGGATCATGGCATCCAGACGAAGCCGAAAACTAATGGAAGAGGAAAGAGAAGGACGGGTGGATGAATGGACAGGGGTGACTGATGATGGAGACAAAAAAGACACTCCCTATCAATCATCAGTTAAACAAGCAGATGTCATCACAAAGTGAAGCATGTGAGGAGGAAAAGTAAAAATAAACAGAAAAAAAGGAGTTTTAAAGCTAAAAAAACAACAACAAAGAATCAAATGGAAAGTTCTGGTGCTGGGAATATTTTTGGTAATTTTATCCAATCTAGGGCTAAGGTGGGGTGTACCTGGGGATTTCCACCAACAGCAGCATGAAAAGATCAGGCTCTCCCAGCCAGCTCCGCTCCCCACTGAACCTCCTCAGGCGAGACTCCTGAGAGAGAACAGATGCAGAGTAAAATCTGGACAGCAGCTTCAATTAAAAACAAAAACTAGTATACTAAAACCAACATGCTGTTAACAGTCAATTCCAATATCTTTCAGCGCTGGAAACAGACCACATCATACGACAAAGTGTAATTGCAAACTTTTGATCATCCTAACCAGAGCCAGATGAGTGAGAAAGGAGGGAGGGGAAGAGAGGGGGTTGTCACTATTGCATCTGTATGCCAAAAAAAAAAAAAGGCACAATACCTCCTCATTGTCAGGCAGCAATTTGCAGAGCTCTGTGAGCTTCTCTGCTCCGTAACGGTCCCCAGCACCCTGCCTGATATCCTCAACTATCTCTTTAGCAGGCCTGCGGAAAAATGACAATATGCACATTTTTAGTATGACATCATTGTTAACATGCGATGGGGTTTTCAGCCTGAGGAAAGGCATGACAACCTCCGAGAAAACTCATGTTATGAGCAGTATCAGCCCTTTGTTTTGCCTTGTTCACACAATATTCAGACTAATCCTATTCTTATCAGTCAAAGTGTCGGGGAAGGAGGGTTGGTTGACGCCACATTGGCGACGCAAAGTGGCGTATCCACTAGGCAAATAAAAGGCAGACATGCAAAGAAGACGTCTGAGAGGCCTTGGGATGTCAAGGTGAAAGACGCAGAAACTGAGCTGACTGACTGTTTGACCTCTGACTTACTTCCACCGAGTGACACATCTGTCCTCTATTCCAGCAGTTTTTCCATTATACTCTCCCCTCCCCCTCATCTTACAGCCCATCACACACGCTCATACTCCATTATGTGCATGCCACTGTGTGTGTAGTCTTTACAAATTCTCCTCATTCACAGCTCAACGTTCACAGCCACATCTAACTCTTCGACAACAACAGTTCAGGATTTACCTGTGAACACTTCCACAGTAGACTGAGGATAAATCATTTTCATAAGTGGTTAAACACTCTTTGTTATTTGTCCCAACTAGTTCTATTGAAAACACAATGCTGAGTGAAACAGCCTATAAATAGAACTGTCACATAATAAAAAAAAAGACACTGAAATGGTTACTCAGACACTCATGTCAATATAAAACCATATTTTCTTTAAACTACACCCAGATTTGAACAGTAGCTCTGCCTCAATTCAAAACGGAGGGCAAATAAGCTCACAACAAGACAAATGTTTGTGTACAGAAGAGACTCTTTTCACATAATGGCTTTCCTTACAAGTCTTGACAAATCTAGTTTAGAAAAAAAAAAAAGTGCCCTTCAATTGAGAGTTGCACACGTGGAGGCATGACAATATAGCAACTCAGCACTTTTTCTCTCCCTTTATTAGTCTCGTCTTTTTCTACCGCTTAATGATTATGAAACAGCCCTCTTCGTGCTGCTTCGTTTGAGAAAGGCAAACATGCTAAAGAGGATTTAGGGGGATGGCTGAATATGACAGGCCACCAGTGGGGTCTCTCTCTGTAGAGAAGGGGGGTGCTTCAACATTAGACGCTTCTTAAGGGGGTGTCAAGCAGGTGTCAACTCTGACTCCTAAGGCTATACACGGCCACTTACCACCCCCACCCCCAGTCCAGCTCCTCAGGGTGCCCTCCCCTGCACCTGTCCTGTGCAATATACTCCATATACTCCCTCTCTCCTGATGAGACTTCACACCAATCCATGTTTGACATATGGCCACACACTCCAGTTTAGTCTCAAGTGAAGTACTGCTCCCCTGGGCACAGTCGTACACGCGTGTGTTTCCTGCACTTAGAACTACTTTCAGTTTTGACTGATGGTGACCTCCGGCAAATGCAGGCAAAAAGGCTTAAAGTTGGTCAATTGTCCATGTCCAATCTCTCGTCAACAAACCAAAACCCATAGATATTCAATTTAAAATTACATAAAACAGAAAAAACAGAACATCTTCATATTTGAGAAGAATATTTTCTGTTGCTCCACTAATTGATAAAATGACTTGTCTTTCAGCTCTAGTAAGGAATGAGGAGGCTTACATCTTGAACTGGCGGAGAAATATTCCAATGTTCATGCTGCGTTTGGAGTCCAATAGGGAGATCTGTGAAGAGGCAAACGATACTAATAAGGGGAAGAAACATGCAAGAAATCTCACTATCTTTATACATTACTGAAAAATACCAGTGCCATCCCCATGATCTGACCTCCTCTGAGCTGTCCTGGGGGGATCTGCTGCGCAGCAGAGTAGACCGGCGTCTCAGGGTGCTGGTTCTGTCCTGAGGCTTACTGTCCTTCTGACCAAACAGCTCATCCAGAGAATGGAGGTCAATGGGGAACTCGTCCTCGCCCGGGGCCGCCCCGCTCCACACACTGTTCCTCCCCTCCACCTTCTCTTTGGGGATACGCTCCCAGTTCAGCTTCCTCAGACGGCTTCGACGGGCACTGTCCGCCCGGCTAAATGGCGAGGAGGAGGAAGAGGAGGATGCAGGTGGAGGCGGGGGAGGAGGAGGTGGAGGCGGAGGTGGTGGAGGTGCTAGGGGAGGCGGTGGAGGGGCGACCAGCACCGGATGTGAATCCATGGCCGTCACTTCCACAGCTTCAGGGGCAGCGGTGGGGTGGGCAGGCTGTGTTCCATGAAAGGCACGAGTTTCCTTGATGGCCACTGTCAGGTTGATGAGCATATAGGCGGCCTGGATGCTAGAGAGGGGTGGGGGGTCGGCGGGGTGATAGTGGATAAGCAGTCTTTGCTCAGTCAGTCAATGTCTTTTCCACGTTCCACTCAGCTCTAGTTCAAAGGTCCATCAGTAATTCCAGTCTAGGAAACAAGACAACAAATTTTTTTTAAAAACTTATCTCAGACAATGCTGAGCACAGAGAGAGACAGGAAATCACTGCTCTCCTGAAGCTTTGCCACATTTAGTAACTCAGGCAGTTTGAACTGAGGCCAATGACCTCACCTAAGCCAACACCTGGCCTGACTTCTCCTTTCATTAGCATGGTTCCAGTGCACTGACTGATCTAACAAGTAGTTAGAGCTAAAAATGTAACCTCTGCTTCAACTTTCTTTGGAAGTTCAAGGCGTTTTTGGGAAAGTACTGGCTGAGCAAGATGTCGCCCCCCCCCTCCCTCCCTCCCTCCCTCCCATCTGTAGGCTGTTTGAACAGCTTGTCCCATCCTGTTCAGTTTCACCTCACTGCATGCACACACACCTCCACCACACTCCCTCTCCCTTCTAATTAGAATATATTGAGACACCACTCAGGCAACGCTTAGATGCACAGTTAACCACAATGCTGCGAAGTGAAGGGTCTGCCTCAGACATCATGATCATCACGATATTCTTTCCACGTTATGGGAGATTAACATCTGAAAGTCAGTTGCACACACTTGCACCAGCAAGTTTTTAAGTAGGATTAGTAATGCAATTAAGAATGACTCAGCGGTTTCAGGTGTCTGGTTCAGGGGAAAGTCTTTAATCATGACATGGCTTTGCATTTAACCAAACACACATCCTCTCGTACTCTTGCATTCTTAACATGAATCACAACTCATGGGAAACTGGAGGGATGCGCTTCATTGCTCAGCTGTTCCACCAAACGCCGCAGGAGCGCGCTGCAAAAACACTCGCGGTGGTGATCTCAGCCTCCATCATTTCATGAGATGTGAATCTTTACAAGCGAAAACTCATTTTTCAATTCTCACAGTTCAAGAGCTCGTGGAAGAGTAACTGGAAAAGTGTGTGATCAAATGAATACAAAACGCTAAATTTACATCAGCTTTAAACTTTTTCTATGAGATTGAAGAAACTTTATAGCACATATTCATGTTGACGTTTGTTTAAGATGACAAAACCGGTTCTGCTAACCCGGTAGTTTATCCGTTTTTGCCTAACATTAAAAAATGACCTACATTTCAAATGACCAAAACAGTCTTCTCGTAGGCAAAATCAGGACAACTCACTCAAGTTACTTCACTTACCTGCCGCTGATGACTGCTCTTCTCCCGTGAGGTAACTCCACAAACACCAACAAGAGCCACCGCTTTGATTTCAGGGGAAAGAAAAACTCGCTTCAATAACTTTTTTTGTGTGTGTGTGTGTGTGTTCGCTTTATCTCTTGTTTTCCTGGTATCTTGTGCTGCTCCGCTCGCAGCAGTCCTCTTGTCTTTCTCAACTTGCAGGGAAACTTCCACACAGTTCAGCAGTGACGCGCAGGCGCGCTCCCGCACGCTGATATGCCTTTATTGTGTCCTCCCAGTTTTCCCATGGGCGGATTTAGGGTTTTCAGGTGGGAGTGCGCTCGATATTAATTCCACTTTCCTCCTCTTCTTATTTCTTTAATCTCTAAGAGGAATTAATGGCCTTAATATCTCATACAGTGTTTTTACAATAATGTTTGTCAAGTCCAGATAAGATTGTACAGGAAAGCTTGCAGTCAGGAGTTGTATTGACAACTTGATAAGTCTCTATTTCAGGCTAATCATCATAGTGGGCAGAACTCTGATCTGTAATTGGTGCAGAAGGCCTTGATCAGGCTAAGAAGAGGATGCTATTGTGAACCTGAGAGAGGGAGCAGATGGTTATCATACATGGGAAATGATGTCCACATCTCCTCCCTCAACCAAGAATGGGGCACAGGTGAAAGCTAAGAGGCTAGAAGTCCCTCTAGGGTGCTGAAATGACCCAGGTGCTGGGATGTAGACCCATAACACCGACCTTTCATCCAAGGTGCTGGAGCGCTCCTGGCCCATGTCACCTGGTGCTCCCGGGTCCGGCTCAGGTAGCCGCTTTCAGAGGCCATGATGACAGCCAGTCGTCATCACTTCTTGGGCTGCAGTAATTAGGGGGTTACAACCCAAAAGATCTGGCTATTGTTGTGCCTGTGCAGCAGGGCATGTTATAGTGTACCCGTGCCAGAATAAACCTCTCTCAGGAAACTTCACTTTCTACTCAGTCACCCACTTCTCTGAGTACAGTGCACTTCTAAGAATACAAGGAAATGCCACTGTTGAGAGATGGCAGCTTTATAGTCCATAAAGGGCCTGAACAACCCTGCACAATCCCACATATTATGCCAGCATTCGTACAACATGGACATTACGACAGTGATTAATGGATAGGGAGGACTTAACTTGACATCCCTCACTTATTTCACCACGACAGTTAAATTGCAAGGAGACAAAACAGTCTGTGATGTGTTTACAGGCCCACTCCCAGCCGGTCCCCCCTTTTGCATAACAGTGGGCTTCAGAGCCTGTGCTTCACTCGGCTCATTCTTCAGTGAATGAATGTGCATGAGAGTGTTCATGTGTAAGATTTGTGTGTCGGTATGTGTGAGTGTGAGAGGGAATCCATGCATTCAAGTTAGATTGTGCTGCTCAGACGTATGTTGGTGAGAAGTTAGTATTTTTTTTCTTGATCAAGCATTCAGGAGAATATCTCAAAATTGGTGCATCATAAGTGTGACATTTGTCCGATGCCTTGAAGAACCTTCAAAAGGAGAAATAAGAATTAACACATGAGAGCCCCCCCCCCCATGCCAATAACCCTTTAGAGGCTCAGGGTGCCTAGTTTGGTGGGTTGGTTGCAGCCATGCAGCAAGTGTTCCAGCCCTTTGCCATCTCTCCTTCTTAATCTTGCTTTGAAGTCCAAGAAGGGTTACGTAAAGGTGAAGGCTATTAGCTCGCTCCTCCCCTAACTTACACACACATAATCATTGGTGCTCACACACACACACACAGACAGAAACACACAAAAACAGTATTTGTTTTACACTAGTACTTTTGCTATGGTGATCAAATTCTATACAGTGACCTCTGCTGCAATTGGCTTTTCACACTGCAGAAATGAATCCGGATATAAAGAAATCAATACAATAGATTTTTTTCCCAGATGCCCCATTTATATAGCGTGGAAAAGTGGCTGTAAAACTATTCCATGTGAAACTATTGATATAACCGCATGGGAGCTTAGTGTTATTCTGCCTCTGGTGAGACTGGTTTGCCTCCTGGGTCTTGGCCATTTCCATGGTGGAGTAAATAGGTCAGTGTGACTGTGACTCTGCGGGGGTATTAAACACATGTATAGACATGCACCCACACCTGGGTCTGATCCCAGACTGGGACAGTAGGTCTGGGGAGGTATTCCTAATCAAACCCAGCTTCCTCAGATCGCTCTTGGTTTTCCAGCTGCACTCAGATCACGTGCAGATATCCAGAACAGTCTGACAAGGATCTCTGGCTTAGGTCTGACCGCCGGCCTGATAAGGAGAGACAGAAAGACACAGACAACACAGACACACTCTCAGCGTCATGCCCTGTTTTTCCAAAAATTTTCTCACACACAAACACACATGTGCACTCGCACTAACTTATACATGTCTACCCCACACATGAGAGTATATCCACTCCCACACATACAGACATATGTTATACATGATAATAGAAGACTCAAAGAGAGGCTTGCACACACACTGCTACTTTAGGGGTCCACAGACAGGTCACTGGATGATGATACAAACATGGAGATAAAAAGATCAGAGGGTTGTGAGTCAAACTTTGTGGAGAAAGAAAACACACTATGTGCTATCTGTGGAAGTTTTCACTTTTTCTGAGTTTTCATTTCTTTGTCAGAACAGGCTGATTGTTTAAGAATTTTCACTATGTGTTTTTGCAGCAGTATTAGCAACAGCTTCTCTGACCTGAATCGATTGAGAGAGCAGACAAGAGGCTGCACTAGGCCCCATATCTCACTTTGTTTTCATAGACTGTCCTAAGTACACAGGTGATGCCTTGCTGTGTTTACCAAGCTGTCTGCTGTCACAACATTTTTAGTATTGGATGCATGTGTGCACATGTGTGTGTCTGTTGGGTCGTGATAAAGTTGAACTTCCCAAGCTAGATGTAGGGGATGCTAGTGAAGGTGCTTGTGGTCAGTTATGCGTGTGTGTGTGTGTGTGTGTGTGTGTGTGTCTTTAAATTAAACTCAGCAGGGTGGAATGGAGGATAAGGTGCTTGTGGTCAGTTGTCCCTGGGGGTTGGGTCAACTCTGTTTGTCTTTGCACATCTGGCCACTAGAGCCACTTCCGACTCCAATTAGGATTTCCTGAGACTCAATAAAGGGGATTATTGGCCTGCAAAAACACCAGTCCAGACTCTCCCACCCTCAGTCGCCTTCCTGCCCCAGCTGCTACGGTCATTACACTAGTCAGAACTACAGTCGCACTCCACTAGAGGCTCACAATGACACAGTGACATACAGCGACATAGACGAATCAGTCCTTTTCTTCCCCTGCTGTCCTTGCATCTCTTTGTCTCTTTTTAGTGAAATGTAAGACTCCTCTTGTACTTGATCCCTCGTTTAAACTCTCCTCATATGTGAAATGAATCAAGCTCTTCATAAATGATGTCAGTGAAGCAATGGAAACCAAAATTTTCCCTAACTGGCTGATGAGAGACCACAAGAGTCTGTATACCAAGCTGTGGTTGGGCACAAAGCCCTGGTGCAGAGCGCAGGGGAGCTGGGCTGTGCTCATAGGGGGTCCTGAGTGGCTGCTTGTGTGGCAAGAGTGATCACACAGTTAATATTCAAAGGGCTGGGCCTGTTGTAAAAGAAGCCACTAAATAGAGGTTGACAAGGCGCATCGTACAGACAAAGGCTTGTCTCTAAGTAGGCTGTGTATAT